GATGGCCAGTTGCATCTTGCTGTATTTATTTGCCATGTGGCTTCATAGCAGAAATTATACATCAGCATTATAGAAAGTTTGGAAAACATTATTTTTTAATTTCATAATCCCATTTACCAGCACACATTCATCTGCGTGCTCTCATCCTTGGCTTACACAGTGATGGCCACAAAATGTACATATCCTTCTGAATCCATCATTTTTTCCTAACATTAAGATCATATTTTCTCATATTCTTAGAGTCCTCATGGTTATTTTAGAGGCTGCTTAGTAATCCATCAAGTGAATGAGCTATTATGAATCATGCCTGCACTTGGGAATTTTAAGGTGTTCCAATTTTAGCTGCTGTAAGTGATGGCAATGTCTTTTAAAATGGAGAATTCACTGGTGCCCTTCTGTTGTTTATAAACCTGTGTATAGCGAGGTCCTCAGGAAATGTTGGCTGCTGGTTTTTAGTCTCCCAAAGGTCTCAGTACTGCCAAAGCCACTCCCCTATCAACCCTGAGAGGTGATTTGTGTCCTCCCTGCTCCCCTGTCTTCATGGACAAAGAGCAATTAGGATATTTGTGGCCATAGTCTCTGGGGGTCCTCCCATCTCCAAGGTCTGTCATTCACTGGAGCACAACCCATAGTGCTGAGGTCAGAGACTAATACAAAATCTGTGAGCAACTGCTCCCAGTTGCCAAAGTGAGGCAAACTTCAGGCAGAAGAGCTGTAGTTAAACCCCACCTCTGCCACCCCATCTGGAAGGGTTGGGAGAGAAGTTAAAAAGAATCAGCTCCCTGGGGCCGAGACCAGCTGTGCACGGGGAAATTGCCCCCCAAGAGCAGCCTGCATGTTACAATGCTTTAAGACTGTATTGCTAGCAAGGAGATAGCACTGAGAGCAATGAAAAATACTCTCAGTTTTCAAGGTTTGGTGCCTAGAGCTCAAGGTGTAGGAGCCAAGTGAGAGCCACTCAACAACTGTGTCCAAACAAGGAGGTACAAAATATTCCAGCCAACTGTCAAGACACTGGGTGCCTGCTGTGACTGCTGAAGGAACCAAAGAATCTCAAAAGGCAAACCAAGTCCCTATAAAAGCACAATGAGCATGAGCCATTTAGCGAAGGGGCCACCAATTCCAACTCCCCACTCCACCACCCAGCTGTAATGAGACCATTCCAGCAATATCACTCCCAACTGAAATCATATATGCTCTTGATGGGGTCCCTGAGTCATCAAGAAGTTGTCAAATTATGTGCCATTTTTTCTAGTGAGAAAGCAAGGAAGTATGAAAAAGATCTTTCCAAAGTTTACAAGTTTCCTCCAGCAGTGTGTGACAGGAGAGGGTGCCGCTAACTTGGGAACATCCATATTTGTTCTCTGAAGTGACTGAAGAGAAAGGGGGGGCCTCACTGGTTATATGGGTTGACAAGTGTGGTCCCTTTTGCTCTTATTCACTCAGCGATCTTCTGAAAATTGACATATCAAATTACTCAGGTATATGTCCCATTACAAATTATTACATTGGCATCCTGAATTATTAATCATTTTCCACCGAGTGTGGTCAAAATCACTTCCCCAAAACCGTATCACTCTACCTCGTCAGTACCACTAGGACCTTGATAGTTAACCAAAACAGGGTCCTAAGACCCATCTCCCTTCTGAGAATAGATTCTTATTTCTAGCAGTATATTAGACAAGTTTCTCTAAGTGTTTTGTCTTTTCAACAAATTTAAACCTGTTTGAAACTAAGTATCTGTTATCGCACCCATATTTGCACAAACATCTCCTCCATCTCCATGCCCTGTGTCTGTCAATGACATCACCACCCTTCCTGACACACAAAGTAGAAACTCAACTCCTCCTTCCCTCTCACACTCTGAACTCAGGCTCTGATCTCCAAATATGTCTTCCCACCTTTATCCTTTTTCCCTCTAGCTCATCCTCCATATGGTGGCTGCAAGAAGTATCATTTATAAATATATTAATCTATCCTTTCAACAAATATTTGCTGAACACTTATTCAAGCACTGTGCCAGGCATGATATTCTAGTCAGAGAAAAACAACTGAGAAGGTTCTGATCGGGTCACACTTCTGTTCAAAAATTATTTACTACCTATTTCCAAGGATGCCCTTTCCTTAAAATCTAGTCCCAGAAAGGCCTCCCAGTCTGGGCTCCGATCACTACAACTCACCCCTGCTCACACACATAGACACATGTGCACTCAACTTCCCACGGTTCCCTCACACTGGCCAAACCCTGAGCATAGACCACTGCCTTTGTCCTGAGTCCTCTTCTCACTTCCCACTTCTAAGGGGGCTGCATGTCCCCCAAAAACCCAAAGCATGGCTCAACCACTCAGAGAAACATTTCCTAACCCTCCCAGGGGGGGAAATCTGTCTTTCCCCTGTGCTCTTAAAGGAAAGCAAACATAACCCTATTATAAATAGCATTTACAACATTACGTGAAGAAAATGGTCAGTGATCAAAAGGTATAGGATTTATTTGAAGTCTTACGTAAACGGATAAATTTGGAGAAGCCCCCACCCCTATACATCCCTGGGACTTTTCTGCAACAAATGCTCTGTTGGGTCATCGCCAAAGGATGTGCCCTCTCTCCTCTCAAGGGAGGGCTGTTTTTCCCCCGAGGACCCACAAGTTTCTGGACCTGGAGGTGGATATTCATCCTCCTTACTCCCCACTGCCATTCTCAAACCATTTTCCTCCCGTCTTCTTTGAAGCTCATCCTCTGAGACCATACCACCCCTTTCCCAACTGGTTGTTGTCAGTCTCTGCCCCTCAGCCGCTGACAACTTCAACTTCTGGCACACTGGCTTCCTTTGTACCAACAGCACCCCATTATCAATAGCGGTTTCTTCATCATCTCACGAGGGATGCACGCATACTGCCCTCCATCCCACTACAATGGATAAAGTAGCCACATTCTTATCAAAAAACACCTCTCCACTGCATCCCAGGCTCCTCCCCCTCTTATCTTCCAAAATGCAGTGGTCATGGGTAATAGCTGACCACGGTCGTGTCCTTGAAACATCTTCCTACTTGGCTTCTATAACATCACACAGACCTGTTCTCCTCCCATTTCACTTGTCACCCTCCTTTTCAGAGTCCACTGACGGTTTCTGGGCTCCTTTCTCTCTTTCTATCTCCGCATGTCCCCAGGATGACATCAGTGAGTCCTGTGGCCTCGAAGCTCATCTATTTGCCAAATCTTAGCACTAACCTGACCCCATCCCCAAAGACCAAATGTATAAATCCAACTGCCATCCGTACATTCTCATTTGTATGTCTTGTATTGTATTGTATCTCATTTGTATGTCTCATTGTATGTTTGAGGTCCTATAAACTTGTCGTGGCTCGAACACAACTCTCCACCCTGCTCCCTAAAATGTTCCTCTCCAGTCTTTCCCATCTCAGAGAGAGGCACCATCGTTCACCAAATCACCCAGTTCCAAAATGTCAAGGTCGTCTTTGATTCCTCTTGCTTCTTCACTTAGTACCTCCAGTTCATTATCTTCTCCCCACTCACACTCTATTGTTATGTAACTCTCTTCGTCTCCACCTAGTCCAAGACATCAATATCTGTTCACTGGACCACTGGACACCTGCTCACTGGTCTCCCTGCTTCCACTCTTACGCCCTTGCAATTCCTTCCCCACAGAAGACCCAGAGTGATCATTTTTAAATATAAGTCAGATTAAATCATTTCACCTCCAATGCCGCAATGGCTCCCCATTCCATTTGGGATGCAATGCAAATTCCTGACCCTGGCCTACAAACCTCTCTTTGATCTAGCCCCCACCTACCCTTCTGGCCTTAGCCAGTGTCACTCCCCCACCACTCACCGCAAGGCCACACTGGCCTTCCTCCTCTTCTCAAGCCCACCAAGTTTGTTCCCATGTGAGCATCCCTCAGCAGCCTCTGCCTGGGATGTACTTTTTCCCTGATTTCCACATGGGTTGTTCCTTCTTACAAGTCAGGACCCAGCCTAAATGTGAATTCTTCAGGAGGCCTTCCATGACAAGCTAGAGTAGCCACCAATCACAACCAAATCTCCTATTTCAATTCTGTGCATGGCACCAGCCCTGACTGATATATATCCTATGATTTATTCATCTGTTTATTTTCTCCTAACCAACTAGGAGGTAGGCTCCATAAGAGCAGGGATCCCATTCATCACAAACTCCGTCCCCAGGCACTTGGAACAAAATCATTAGATAAATGAATGCTCCTGCAATTGCCATAACAATGGTCCTTGGAATTTCTAAAAGTTTTTGGAAATCCAAGCATCAGGCAGCTACACACCTGTGCAGGGGGCACAAAGGGAAGCATGGACTAAATGACCTGACAATAGCTACTACGAAAGAAGGTCGATTGGCAAAGGTGAGACATCACCCTAAGAAATATGACAAACAGATAATGGCTTGTGAGAAGAGCTGGGTTCAAGTCCTAACAACAACACTTACTGCTTCCAAGTGGGCAATCACTTCCCCTCCCTCTGAGCCTTAGGTTTTCCCCATCTATAAAACGGAAATGATACACCTCTCCTGTAGGATTCTGGTAAAGATTAAATGAGACACCTCGTGCGAAGTGCCCAGAAGAAGCAACCCTTGGAACCACAACCGTCCAGGATTCAGGCTTCATGAAGAATCTAAGTGATTATTTATGATTATCAATTAAATGCATGCTCCCCCCAATGCCCCTCCCCACCCCACTGGTCTCCTTATCTCTCTTCCCAGAGCTGGTCCAGTGACACTTCCTTTGGGAGCCCGCTCAGCCCTGCAGGTGGGCTCACATGTGCACCCCCTTGTACCTCAACTCTCAGGGCCGTTTGTCCCACTATCTGTTACTTAGTTGGTATATATCACTCTCCCTTCCCACATTGTGTTTCTTAAAGCTCAGAAGCAAGATCTTTAATTTCCAGTCAACTCCCGGCCCACACGTTGCCTACTCTGAGGACTAACTATGATCATGATCTAAGGCCAGACTTGCTTACCTTTTTCTGATCTCTTCTTGTCCTCCCTTCTCCCATCTGGAAGCTCTTGCAAGTGTCTGGTGCAGTTCATTTAACTAGGTTTCTGGGAAAAATAGAATGAGAAAGGTAAATTTGTAAAACACAATATATTGTAACTAATATGGATAGTTTGGGGGGAAGTGGACAGTGGAATGTATAGAAAACTGTTACCTACAGTTAAAAGAGAAGACAGCAATTGCCAATTCCCCTGAGGTCAAGGGGGGGGGTCTCTTGAAATTGGGGAGAAATATTTAGTTACCAGTCTTAAATGAATCTTTCCAGGCACAAATATACACAAGTAGTATACAACAAAACATCACTGCTATCCACATCGAAAATATGTGTGGGTAACATGCCAGGAAATTTTGAAGTTCTGACGAAAGGAGTTTTTGTCGAGTCAGAAACCCAATTAAACAACGAGGGCTGTAATGTGTCTCCTTGGCATGGAGGACGGTTGCATCGAATGCTTTTAAGATCCGGGAACAGGCCCCTCATGGAGTGTGTTGTGTGGACGTCCTCTGCCCAACGAAGGTCTGGCCTTCGAGATCCACCCTCGTGCAGCACCGCAGGAAAACCAGCTCTCTCCTTGCTGTCATTGTTGTGTTTCTGGGATACCATTGTGTATTTCAACATCTCAAGAGGGCAAACTGATAAGACAATGAGCCAAAGTTCCTAAAAAGGCAAAGTTGCCTAGTAAACAATTGCTTGCAGCAAAGTATGGCATAGAATGAAGAGCATGAGCTTGGGACATTCCAGCAGATTCTTAGCTGTGTGACCAGAAATAAGATACTTCAACTTCCTAATCTCTGTGTTCTCATCTATAAAATAGGGGCAGTAACAGGAACTATGCTTGGATGGCCATGAGAAGTTTTGTCATAATTCATAAAAAAACACTGGGCACAGGGCCTAGGCCCATGGTAAGAGCTCATTGGTTAGATTGTGGTCATCATTATGAATGCAGGACTGTGATATTGTCCACAATTCCAAAGCAATGTGGTCCAGTTTTCAGGCTGGAGAAATTAACCAAATGTTTCTCCTCAAAAATGGACAATAAGTTGAAGATCAGGGGAGAGATTGGAGCAGTGAGAGGTCAGAGGATGGGCTCAGGGGACCCTCCAACAGAACTGCTGCCATACTGCTGTCCCCACATCTCACCCATCCTACCCCACTTTTCAGGTCTCAACAGCCCTGTTATACCATGCACTCCCCAAAATGACACCTGCTGGAGATCATCCCTGAGCCCAGGCAGGTCTGAGACATTTGTGTCCACCTGCAGACACGCATGTGTTCACATGCACTCATACACACATAGCCCTGAGTAGAATATCTGTATAGTCCCTAGGATGAGAAAGAGTCTACGAGCTGCACACACACGTGGATACACATGCACACACAAACACCGTGTAACTCTCTAAAGTCACCAGCCACGTCTACCATGTAAATTTCAGCTTTGATATACCCTGTCCCAGCTGGGCTCTATTTCTTTTCTCAGGTCACTGCAGCCCTGGTCTAGAATGACTTAATGAGCAAACTGCGCCAAGAAGTCTCACCAGATTCCCAGTAGGAATAATCTGGAGACTCGGGTATGCAAACAACTTTAAAAGGGACAGGGTTCGGTGAAGCACAGAATTGGAGTCGGGAGAACTGGTTTTAAAATCCAGCTTCATTTCTTTATGTCCAATCTTGAACAAATTACTTAATCTTTCTGAACCTCGGTTTTCTCGCATCCAGAATGAGAAACATCCTGCCTCGTGGATGTTTAGAATGATCCAATTAATTCAGTCAAAAGCATTTCATGACCCATAAAGATCTTTCTAAGTCTGCTTTTGTGTTGAAGACAACAAACCCTGAACTACTGCTATAAATTCCATTCTCTGGTTTATGACCAGGGCTCGTTTTGGTAACAAGAATATTGAGTAACATCGGCACCCAAGGTGAGCACTAGGCGAACTCTAGAGAAAGCATCTGTGTTGGGGAGCTCTATTCATAAGTGACAAAGACCACAGAGAGAGGGCTGTCTTGGACTCGTCTGCTTTCCTTGGAGTGAAGGTGGGATGGGATGGGAGACTGGAGTTTAAGTGCATCTAGTTTAGAAGTTTAGAATCATTTGCCCACGAGAAGTCCTCAGAAGGCTTCGCCAGTGAAGGTACCCACCTCCCAGGAGGAGTAAGAATGAACACAAAGTTCTGTTCCCTCTGCCCCTCACAGCCACTGGCTTATCAGAACTACTGGGGTGGCAGGGTCCACAGGCTGAACAGACTCAACAGCCACTGGGCCCAAAGGCCTGTGGTAGGCAGCATCCAAGATGGACCCCAATGACTCCCTCCTGGTGTTCACATCCTCATGAAACCCCCCTCTCCTTGAGTATGAGCTGCACCTAGCGATCCACTTCCAACAAATAGAATATGGAAGAATGGCGGAATGTCACTTCTAAGGTTAATTTACAAAAAACTGTGGCTTCTATCTTGAACGTGCTCTCTCTTATTCATTCTGAGGGAAGCCAGCTGCCATATTATGAGCTGCCCTATGGAGAAGCCTCATGGCCAACAGCCAATAACCATGTGAGTGAGACTGGAAGCAGTTCCTCCCCCAGTTAAGCCTTCAGATGGGACCGTAGCCCCAGCCAAAGCCATGACTGCACCCTCACAGAGAGAGATCTTGACACAGATGCACACAGTTAGTTACAGCACACTCGGATTCTTGACTGGCAGGAACTGCAAGATAATAGACGTTTGTTGCAACTGAGTCCTGGGTAACTTGTTACACAGCAGGAGATAAATGATACAAGGCCCCTACCAGACGAAGCCCCCGAGACTAAGAGGGAAGAGGGCTTCCTACCTTTACCAGCAGTAAGAGTGGTCTTCTCTGCATCATCCCACTCCCGTCTCTAGGGGACCATGCAACGTCTACTGGAAGAAGGGCATTTATCTAAGTGCAGAATTATAGCTATAAAATACCACAGAAATAAGCCATCCTATAAAAGCCAATTTTGATAAGGCCATTTATAACATAGCAGACATAATGATGTGGCCAGAGGGTCAGGGAGGGAGTAAGGGATGGACAAAGGCGTGAAGAGGGGCTCAGAGACTGTGCTGGAGCACTTGCCTTGCATACTACTTGAGAGATATAGGAAGCTGAAATTTTAGAGATTTCTTTTTAAGACCAGGTAAAAAGGTCCTTGGCATAAAAAATGGCTTTGTGAAAGCAGCCGGACCAAACGTCAGGTACTATCATGGAACGATTTTATCGAACCCCACCACATACTCTTTGGGCTTCTCCTCGGTCCTGAAGACAGGAGGATTGCCACCAATCTTTCCTTCCTGTTTGTGCATGCACAGGCATACACATACATAAAAGGGATTCAGGAACAGGTTTCCTGGGTCCGAAAGCACAAGGTCTAAAATGATGTGAGTTTCAAGGCCACCATCTGCCCCACACCCTACTTGGATTTGGGCTAGTCAAATTTAACAGGCTGAAAGGCACCTGCCCAGAGGCTAGAGCTTCACCAAGAACTCTACAGAGAGCAAGTCCTTGTGGGGTCTCATGAGAGTCCCCCCTGCATTGCTCATCAGCTCAGAACACACGAATGAAGACACTGTTTATTGTGGCTGGTGGAAATGAACAGCACCTTTATATTAGAACAGATCCCATTAGTTCCTGAAGTGTTCTATCTTTAAAACCATTGACTTGGGGCGCCTGGGTGGCTCAGTTGGTTGAGCAACTGCCTTCCACTCAGGTCATGATCCCAGAGTCCTGGGATCAAGCCCCGCATCGGGCTCCCTGCTCCACGGGAAGCCTGCTTCTCCCTCTCCCACTCCCCCTACTTGTGTCCCCTCTCTCACTGTCTCTCTCTCTCTCTCTCTGTGTCAATTAAATAAATAAATAAATTCTTAAAAAAAAAAATTGAGGAGTGCAGGCAAGATGGCGGAGGAGTAGGAGACCTGGATTTCGTCTGGTCTCAGGAATTCAGCTGAATAGGGATCAAACCATTCTGAACACCTACGAACTCAACAGGAGATCAAAGAGGAGAGTAGCAACAACTCTCTGAACAGAGAAGCGACCACTTTCTGGAAGGTAAGACGTGCGGAGAAGTGAATCCGAGGCGATATTCGGGAGGATAGACGGCGGGGGAGGGGCCTCCGTGGGCCGCTTCTGGCAAGTGCTAGAGCCGCGGAGCACAAAATCGGACCTTTTAGAAGTTGGCTCGGCGGAGGGACATCGCTCCAGTGGCTAAGCGGGGGTGGAACCCTCGTGGGACAGTGTGGTCTCAGGACCCTCGGGGTCACAGAAAGACTGGGGGAGCCTGAGTGCGGCAGAGCTCCCAGGTATCGGAGCAGGGAAGCCGGCTGCAGAGACGGAGCCGAGGCGCGGGCTCTCAGCTCGGGGTGGCCATGAACTGTGATCCGCGGCCCAGTCGGGCCACTGCTACTCCAGCAGGGACCCAACAAGCGGCAGAGCCGGGGAGACTCCCCTTCCCCCCCCCGGGAGGAGCAGCGCGGGAGCACACCGCAGGGATCTGCTGGGTTTGGAGACTCCACACGGGGTCGGGTGCCAGAGATAGAAACGCTCGGTCACAGGCCGGGTGAGCACGGAGTGCGGCCGGAGACCGGGGACAAGGGAGTGACTGCTTTTCTCTGGGGGCGCACTGTGGAGCGGGGCCCCGAGTTCTCAGCTCCTCCGGGCGGAGATTGGGAGGCCACCATTTTCGCCCTGGTGCTCCAAGGCTGTACCGAGAGCTTGCAGGGAACAAAAGCTCCTGAGAGCAAACCCCAGCAGCTTGCTTAGCCCGGACCGACAAGGGCGGGGCAATTCCGCCTCCGGCAAAGACATTTGGGAACCATGGCAACAGGCCCCTCCCCCAGAAGAGCAGCACGAACGGCCAGCAAGCCAAGACCAAGTTTACCGATCAAGGAGAACGGGAGAACTCCAGCGCTAGGGGAATACTGCACATAGAATTCATGGCTTTTTTACCATAATTCATTAGTTTTTCAAAGTTAATTTTTTTAACTGTTTTTTTTTAATTTTTCTTTTTCCCTTTTTCAACCAACATCTTATCAATCCCTT